TAAAGGTATTTTTTGTAGGGGTCTCAGACTTTTGGACCTCACATGGAAAAAAAATGGATGGCCAAAAAAAAAATAATAATAATAATGATATTTATAATGATTAGAAATCGAACAGCGCAGCTCACCAGCACATGCCAGACGTTGTGATTGGCCCCTTGGAAAGAGCAGAAGCGAACGCTGGCCCCTAATAAGCCCTGACCGCCCCACATGTTACTGGGAACGACCTCCAGCTCTCTGATCTTCATCACTTTACTGCTGTACACCTCCAGCTTCACCGGCTTCTCCACGTTTGCCTTCAGGAGGTCCTTCAGCAGGCTGCTCTCTTTATCCTGAGAGCAAACACAAACATCAACATCAGAGCATGCATGTTTTAGTGCAACGTGTTTGAGATGATCAGAGATTCAGGATTTGAGATCTCACCAGTCTGGTGTGCCCAATGGACAAAATAAAATCAAAGAAGGGCTCCAGGCCGGCTCTCTCTGCTGGAGAATTGTCCTGAATCTGGGCATCAAAGTGACAAAAATTATGCTTTCTGAAATACAATTTAATATGACCTAAATTCAACTTAAAATAAAAAAACCTAAAGGAATCCTATTGGAATTTCACTGCAAAAATGTCTTGTTTACCAGCACACGTATAAACATATTACTAAATCAAGATATATTTACTTGAGAAGCAACGTGATGCAAGATAAGTCTTGTACCAAATTTAAGTAAGTTTAAGCTTTAAAACAAGAACAAATATCCATCAATGGGTCAAAAAAAATAATCTTGTCTTGCCTTTGAATTAAGTTTATTCTTCTCACCCAAATGGCAGATATATATATATATATATTTTTTTTTTCAGAAAACAAGACTTAATATCTTGTGACAAGATAATATCTATGTTAAAGCAGCACTATGTAACTTGTGGCGTGTTAATAAACAGAGCTGCACACATCCCGCGGAAGAACATTCCGACCGGATCTACTTCTCTAAGTTTACGTCTATGGCGATTCACGCAGGTGTGTGTTACTCCGCAGCGGTGACCAGGCTACAATAGTCCGAATATAAGCACTTATTATAAGTGTACCGTAGTGATTCGGAATAAGACAAAAACGCGGTTTGGAAGATTAATTCATGATGTACTCGCTCATTACATGCATTTTGCAAATTTTTGAACACAGAAAAAGTTACATAGTGCTGCTTTAACAAGACATAATATATCTATATTGTTTAGCTTCTCAGCATCTTAATTTAAGAATGTTTAGATATTTGTACTGGAAAACGAGACACATATTGAGGAAAAACATGGTTTACAGTGTTGGAACTGATCCAGAAGGATCTTAATGGTAATTATCTTCAAAGAAAAACCTTTAAAGATTTTAAAACCCTTATTTTTTATAATACATTCAAGGAATGTATAAATCCTGTTCACATCCTGATGTGTTTTACTAGGACACGCCTGCAAAACCTTTAGGTCACACATCATGCACTTGATTAAAACCCTGTCAGTCGCTGATTCATCAGACTCGATGCCTAATTAAATGCAGTAATGACTAAATCAGTGTATTTTCCAGCTGTAAATATCGCACTCACCCCATGCACATGATATCCAGCCTCTGCAGCAAACACGCTTTGAATCAAACCCATCCTGAAGTGCCGGCAACCTACTACAGCCAAGGTTTGCTCATGAATATTAATTAGTACATGGGGACGTTGCTTGGTAACCTTCCTGAAGCGTATGGGATGTACTCATTAATATTCATTCAAACGTCTGCCTGTTAGCCAATCGCGTAGGACTTCTGGCTGAGCGTCTCGTGACGCAACGCCTTCGCCTTAGTAGAACCCGTACAGTCCATTGTTTAATCCTTCTTATTAGTTACCTCAAACATTAACGAGACGAAAAGCGAAATAGAACAGTACGGGATACATATAAAAACGAACAAAATGGCTCGTAACCCAGCGTGTTTAATCAGACGTGAGTAATCAATTTCAGAAGATCGATTGAAATCAATAACACAGGCGCCGCTGTCTGTGTTTGATTATTATTCCTGCGCAGGTGGTTGCCTAACGTATGTGTCCGTTATTTTAAATCACAGGTGCTGTTTTATTTGATTTAGTTGAATTATCCCGATAAAATATGTCAGAAAACGACAAAACGTGTTTGGTAAGTTTTAATTTTATCGTTTTTATTGTATTTTAATGAAAACGTACATTAGAAAACAACGACTGATGTTTGTTTTAACAGCCGTTAATTATTTATTACATGAGGGAGAAATACTACAGACATGCCATAAACACAGCTGTGAAGAGTTTAAAGTTGTACAATAATGATCCAGTGCTCCGATTCTTCAAAGCTTTTGCAACTCTGATGGAAGGTAGGTAGTTTTACGTCCATATTCTTCATTTTTACACGTGTTTATGATACTATTGTTGATTATTATGATGGTTAAGTGGCGTATGGCAACTGATGATGATGATGGCTCTTCCTCTTGTATTGCAGGTAACACACAGGAGGCTTTAAGAGAGTTTATTCAGCTGAGAGATCATCCTTATCTGTCTCTGTGTTCAACAGCAGCTCTCATTTACGCACACAGACGCTCTGAAGCTACTGGTAACTACATTCACTGAACTGAGTGACTGGCGAATGAAGCATTGGTTCAGTGATATTCTGTGTCTTCCTTCATCCACATGAGATCTAGAAGCTGTGAACCAGCTGAACTGGGAGCTGAAGCTGTCTGGATCCGCAGCCGGTGACCGAGCGTTGTATTACGCAGCGCTGCTCTACTGGATCCTGGAGCTGGACCTCAAAGCCAGAACATGCATTAAAAAGATGCTGAAACTCTCTGAAACATCGCCGGAGGTTTGTGTTAAAGACCTCAACTCTATAATACCTACATCATACTGATACATGAATTTCTAAAGTCTCTAAATGATCAACATGATCAAAACACACTCAATCTACTCAATGTTCAATTTATTTATAAAGCACTTTAAAACAACCTTAGTATACCAAAGTGCTGTACACGGTTACATTGATCCAATCACACAATAGAGTAAACACATCATTAGAAAACCACAGTCACAAAACATTGAAAAAATATGTTTTAAAAGACTTTTAAACTCAGACACTGGAGAAACTATTCTGATGGATAATGGCAAATTGTTCCATAGCTTGGGGCCAGCAACAGCAAAGGCTCCGTCACCCCTGAAATTCAATCCAGCTCTGGGAACCACAAGCCGATGCTTAGTCTGTGATCTGAGTGATCTAGCTGGATTGTGTACTATAATCAACAGAGAGATATGGAGGAGCAAGGTTGTTTAGAGCTGTGTACACGAATAGCAGAATTTAGAATTGGATGCGATAATTAATCGGTAACCAGTGCAATGAATGCAAGATAGGCGTGATGTGATTCCTTCTGCGACTGCCTGTGAGCAAACGAGCAGCCGCGTTTTGGACAAGTTGCAGACGATGAATAGATGAGACCGGCAGCCCATAATATAGCGAGTTGCAGTAGTCAAGTCGTGAAGAAATGAAAGCATGAATGACAATTTCAAAACTCTTCCTGCTTAGGAAGGGTTTAACTTTTGCTAATCTTCGCAGATGGTAGAAGCTAGCACTCACAGTAGAATTAATTTGTTTGTTCAGCTTTAGGTCACTGTCCAGTATGAAGCCCAGATCCTTGACCTCAGCAGAGCAATATGGGGAAAAAGAGCCCAGATCAACGGTGTTCAGATCAGTTTTCTCGTTAGGCCTAAACAGAACAATTTGAGTTTTATCGTCATTCAAATGCAAAAAATTATTGGTAAGCCATGTTTTCAATTCTTGGAGACAGGCTGTTAGTTGGTATAATGCAGACTTGTCATTGCGCTTAAGTGGTATGTAAAGCTGGGTATCATCGGCATAGCAGTGATATGACACATCGAATCTCCTAAAGATTGAACCAATGGGTAACATATACAGCAAGAACAATAATGGTGCTAAAGTTGATCCTTGAGGAACACCACATGAAGAATATGCTACAGAAGAGGAATATTGCCCAATACTGACTGAAAATCTTCTGTTAGACAAAAAGGACCGAAACCAGTCAAGTACAGTACCTCTAATACCAATGCAGTGCTCCAAGCGAGACGGCAGAATACCATGGTCAACAAAATCAAATGCTGAACTGAGATCTAAAAGCACTAAGGCCATATTATTACCAGAATCATTGGATATTAAAATGTCATTAAAGACCTTTCTGTCGTCTGATTGGTAGTTTAGAGTTTTTATCAAGTAAAACGTCTTTTAGTGTAATTGTACAAATGTCCAGCTTCAGCTGATGCTTTGCGTGTCTTTTTACATTTACATTTAGCAGACGCTTTTATCCAAAGCAACTTACAAATGAGGACAATGGAAGCAATCAAAATCAACAAAAGAGCTATGACAAGTCTCAGCTTAAAAACGTAGCAAGGTTTTTTTTTATTATATAATAAATAAATAAAAGGAAAACCGATAGAATAAAAAAAGAAAATAGCAAGCTAGTGTTAGAGGCTTTTTTGCTTTTTGTTAATTGTATAATAAATAAAAAGAAAACAAATAGAATACAAAAAGAATAGAGAAGCTAGTGTTAGTTAGTAAAGGAATAGTGCAAGTCTAAAAGGGGAAAGTTTTTTTTTTTTAAAGAATAGAATTAGAATAGAGAGTGCTAGAGTTACAGGGTCAAATAAAGATGGAAGAGATCAAGTAAACGTCAGAATAACTGTAGTAATATTTCCCGGACTGAAGCAGCTCGGCTTTACTTGATTCTCCATCAATCATTTTTTAGAAAAATCAGTGCTTTCATCATATTTCATCATATAAATATCAGCATCTGCAGCAAATTACATATTTTTGCGCTGTTCAGGTCTCTGAATAAAACCGAGCTGTTTTTCCTCCATATTCTAGATATAATAATAACCTATAAAAGCCTGATGGATCAAATATGATACTCAATAACAAAAAAACATGCTTTTTTTATGTACAAAAGCTAAATAAACATTTATGATTTATGAGAAAAAAAATAATTTGACTTTCATATGTCAGGTTTACACTGTTAAATGCCACTAATAATGACAAATAATTGAATAAAAATAGCGTTATTTTAATACATTTCATCGAAAGGTTAAATGACCCGTTCCATTTATTATATTTTGTAATATTATGTTAATATGTCAGATTTTAAAGGCTTAAATGCCAGTGTAGTTGGAAATATTGCATTCAGGCTGGTTGATGAATTGTTTGTCTTTATTACCAGGGGCTTATTCTGAAGGGCTGGATTGTGTTGACCTCTGACACTGAAGAGAACAGACCTCAGGCTATACGCTACTTTGACAGCGGTGTTCAGGACGCTGGGAATTTATTTGGACTCATGGGAAAAGTAAAACGTGTTGAGAAACATACCGATTAACTCTTTTGAATAATGGTACAGGGACTAAGCTGTTTCTTTGACGTGCAGATGGAGTTCTTCATGGCGAAGCAGAACGAGCAGTGCGCCCTTGACATCGCCAACCAGATCATCGCCTCTCATCCAGACTTCAGCCCGGCGCTCCTCATGAAGATGAAGGTGTTCGTGTCTTTGCGTGACTGGGAGCAAACGGAGGCGGTCGCACAGAGGTGTGTGCTACTCTCAGCTTATCATTTAATAGAGAGGTTTAGATGGTCTTCAGTGTTTCTGCTTGAAATGTGCAGAGTTCTGGAGAGAGACAGACGTGATCTGAAAGCTCTTCAAATGATGACTGTCATCGCTGCGGCTAAAGATGGAAATATGGAGCTGGTAATTCTGTTCCTTTTTATTTAAACGCATATTGCCTACATTTTTAAGACCGATTGAAATCATTATAGCACTAGGAAAGCTGATGTGACATTTGTCGTTTTAATTTAGTTTAACATGATGTACTAAAATAACTAAAACTAAAACCAAAATAAAAATAATAAAAACTATATAGACAATAAAAAGTAACAACACATGCATACAAAAATGCTAAAAATGGAAAGTCTAAACACTGATTCAAGACAAAAATATAATAGCATCTCAATTATTCTAAAATAACACTGATTTGAAGTTTATTCAACACTTGGAAATTAAATATGCCTTTTCTAAGATTTGTTTTTAATTCAAGTTTTTGTTGCAATGTTGTTTTGAGATTTTTTTTGTAGAGTTCAAAACTCAAAAACTGTCATTAAAAGACTGAAATTCTTGGGGAAATATAATATTCACTATATTTTAATAACTATTACTTTATTTATTTTTACTTTTTAAAAATGTTTTAAAATGTTGAAATGGTGCACTGAAAAAAATATGAAGTAAATAGGGTTTACTTAGAAACAATTTCAGAAATAATCACAAATAAATGGATACCTAAAATTATAAAGACTGAAATAGTGTTTTCTTGTAAAACGTGTTCCTATAATCTGATTTATTTGCAACATCCAAAAAAATAATAATAATATTTTTTTAAAGCGAATGAAGATTTTTAAAAAATGTTTAAAATCAACATTAATACAAATATTGGCACGTTTTAAATTATAATAAGTTAACATTTTTTCCCTTTTTTCTGTCATCTCACACATTCTGTTTTGTCATTGACCCACGAATGTTATTCCATTCTGTGTTTCAGGTGAAAGTGCGTCTTCAGGCTTTAATGAGTGCGGTTGAGATCTCTGAGCCCTGCAATCCCAGCCTGCATGTGGAGATCACAGCAGCCATCAGCCGACTGGTGCCAATCACTCTAAACATCCTCTTATACACCTTTACCGCAGTTTATACATTTAATTCTGTGTCATTTAATAGGTTAAATAGATCAGGCTTGTGTACAAAGACTGAACACACACTGTCCGCACTGGGAGTGTTTGTGTCCCTAAGTGTCTGTTTCTATGATACTTCTTGCCCTTGGGATGTTCCTGAGCTATTAATTTCTGTTTTGGAAGACTAATCTATCCTGCCTGATTATAACAGTAGTCTCTGTCTAAAGCACAAGTCACTGAAATGCTCCAAACTATTTTTCCGAACTGCAGTGTGGACACAACCCAGAGATCCTGCAGATGTTGACGGTGTTTGTGCGTCGAGTGTCTTCACGCACACCAGTGGTGTCTGATGTCATCTGTGAGCTCGGCTATCTGCTCAATCACCAAAGCAAGTATAAGGATGCCCATAAATGCTACTCTACAGCACTGAAAACAGAGCCCAAGTGCACCTCCGCATTAGTAGGTACAGTATCATCACATCCAGGCAGCAACAATATCATCACTGTACAAAAACACTATTTTCATCCCAACATCAAAAGAAAAAAATTATCATAATAAAAAACAGTGTTGCAATGCAATGTTGCATTATTATTTTTTGCATTATTTGAATTGTGAAGTATTTATATACCATTATACTATTTTAAAACATTGTGCATTGTGTCCAGATGTGTCTAATACTGTATGATAAGGTCATGATAATATTTGTTGATCCTGTTGTAAATATTTACTTTACTGCAATTATTTGTGCTGATTACAGTAAACATTTGAAAGTTTATTATATCATATGAGAATGAATATTGAGTATAATTTACAACTAAACAGATACAGTTCAGTGGTCTGGATTATTTACTTTATGGTATTACAGTAATAAGAATGATTTTTTTTTTTTTTTGCATCTCTGTAATATGAATTTGATAGAATGTGTTTTTAATTGTTATTAAAATATTGTTGCAATGCAAAAAATCTTAAAAGTCTTAAAAATAAGCTTCATTTTCTTGTCAAAAATCTTTGTTGAACTCCAATCGTTCCTATGGTATATGCATATACCATATTTTTATAGGCACTATTAGATGCCAGCTGATGTGCGATCAGCTTGAGGAAGCTGCCCAGCAGCTCGCGTTCTTCTGCGAAGTGCAAGAGTCTCTTGGAAATACAGCGGTAAAAAGCTGAAATATTACAATTTCTGCTGTCTGACTCACTCTTCATATTGCCACCCATTTAGTATTGGAATTAGTGTCTTTATTACATGTTTAGATGGGTAGTAATTAACCACACGCCTCTGTTGTATATTTTTAGTACTAGTGATGTACATGTGTTTGATTTAACAGGAAGTTCCTCTGCTGAAGGCCCTGTTGGGCAGGAAGCAGAGCGCAGGTGAGGAGACGGTGATGCAGCTGCTAAAAGACGCCACAGAGCGCCATTTCTCTGCTCTTCGTGGGCTAAATTATGGTGTGGAATACCTGCAGATGCTGGACCTCAATTTCCTTCTGCAAATAGTGTGCATGCACCTGGAGTCCAAACAGGTAATACAGACTTCATAACGTGTCAAAATAAACAGTGATCACCAACTAGATAGATAGGTAGGTAGCTAGATACCGTTTTTAATATTGTTTTTACCCTTTTCCAGGATTTTGCCCTCGTTCCTGGACAAACTCCACCATTTTGGCTCAAACACTCAAATATGATCTTGGAAACAGTCATCAAAGCTGTTCCTGGCATGTCGGTGAGCTGTTATTATATGGCATACATCAAGTTCCTTCTAGGTGAGTTTCAGAGTTAAAGACTTGAGCTGAGCTGATGTTAATCATTGCTGTGAAACTCTGATAACTGTCCCATAATGTAGGGCTGCACGATTATGACAAAAATCATAATTGTCGATTATTCCCTTGACATTGTAATTGCGATTACATAATGCCTCTGCAGGTGAGCACAGGACAGCCCAGCACTTTTTGAACCTGTGCATAGAGAAAGGTCCGTCTGTCCCGGAGGTACACCTCCTGCAGGCCCGTCTGCACGTGAGCGCTGGAGAGCACAGCAGGTGTCTGAGCTGTCTGGAGTCTGCTGTCAGCGTCAACTTTGAGGTCTGAACAGTAAAGAGTGCATTTATAAAAATAAAAATAAAAATGGTCAAATACACAGTATTTGCAGAAAGCCTCTATTAGAGGCATATGTTATATATATTTTTTTTTGTTTGTTTTTTTAATCCCACCTTTTGCATTTATTTATTTTTCCTGTAGCCTACTTATAATGTTAGTTTTGTTTTTTGTTCCAAAAGCTCATAACTTATTTTTTTTATGATTATTTTTACTATCTCTTTGAACATCTAATAGACATTGATAGGGAAATATGTACAGTTTGTCTAATGGCAGAAGCTTAGAACAAGCCATTTTTGCAGTTTCTGTCATTTCTGTTTTTCACTGGGGAGGAAGTTTTGAGTTACCGTTAAAAAGTCTGGGTTCAGCAAAGCTTTTAAATGTTTTGGAGGAAAAAAAAGACTCTTCTGTTCACCAAGGCTGCATTTATTTGATCAAAAAATACAGTAAAAATGTGAAATATTATTAGAATTTAAAACGTCTGTTTTCTGTGTGAATATCTGTTAAACTGTCATTTATTTCTGTGACGTGCAGCTGTATTTTCAGCATCATTACTCCAGTCTTCAGTGTCACATGATCTTTCAGAAATCATTCTAATATGTTGATTTGCTGCTCAAGAAACATTTCTGATTGTTTAAAACAGTTCGATATTTTTGTGGAAACCATGATGCATTTTATTTTTCCGGATTCACAGATGAACAAAGTTCAAAAGAACAGCATTTATTTGAAATAGAAATCTTTTGTAACATTAAAAATGTCTTTACTGTAACTTTTGATCAATTTAATGCAGCCTTTGCTGAATAAAAATATAAATTTCCCCAAACTAATGAACTAGACGATATTTCAATATTTTTGTGTGTGTGTGTGTTTTGAGCTCATGTCTGTGATTTATCAGGTTCGAGACCGATTCCAGTTCCATCTGCTCAAAGCTCGTGCTCTGCTGAGATCTGGAGACCTGAAGAACGCCATCCAGTGTCTGAAGATCACCATGAACATGCCTGGGGTCCGCAGGCCCTCAGAGGGGCCGCAGTTCTTCATCTCCCCCAGCGAGCGAGTGTCTGTGTACCTGGAGCTCACAGAGGCACTGAGACTCAACGGAGAGCAGGTCCAGTGTGCTTTTGTTCTCCTGTAGCATTTTAAAGGAATGCACAATAATTATTCAACAAGCATTTGATCCGACTAATAGGGATGCATCGAATGCAACCGAAATTAAATTAGAATAAGCGAAACGACTGAATAAATTGTACGTGATGCGATCCAATAGAGGTGCGCACTAATGCAGCAAACATGTCTGTCATGTGAAAGCATTTAAAAGTGTCTGAGAAAGACACAAAAATCATTACAAGCACCGACAGCGAGAGACTGTTTAGCACTGCATCGCATGTCTTCGATGAGAAGAGGAAGGGTGGTTGATGCTGGTTTACTGTATGATGATTGAAATCGCGTATCTGCTCGTTAGCCAGGGTTCAAAGCGCGAGGAAAATCTGCGCTGAAACAGTGTTACTCGTCAGCTGCTCAGTAACATTTTTATGCATTCTTAAAATAAAATAAGAAGTTTTACAGTAATAATTACAACAGCTCTATTAATACACGTATTACAACACTTCAAATTGGGATCTGTAATATGTTCTAATGTTTTAAAAGAATTGTCTTCTGCTCAGCAAGGCTGCATTTATTTGTACAGTAAAAAATACATGCCTGATTCAAGAAGGGGGTCTGAAAAATGTCCCAGAAATATTATTTTACTAACTTATCAATTTTAAGTTAAATTGTGTTTTATTGGTGTGGTGTCTGCTAGAATGTTAAAAAATGTTCAGTGTTAAGTAAATGTTGTTAATTTAAAATTATCGTTGTTTTGTAATTGATTTTTTTTTTCTTTCTTTGAATAGCTAGACAACGGTAAAAAGCACATTTTGGCTATTTAATTTATGCAATGGTGAAAAATATTGGCAAAATATATGGGGAAAAACTGGTCCAGTGTTTCATTTTGTTCGGCTTCGGCCAAGAATTTTCATTTCTGTGCATTTCTACTAAATAGCCTCATAATCTACTGAGTTACTGTCTTGTGCTGTATGTTGTAAAACGTTCTCTTTCATCAGCACGAGGCCACTAGAGTTCTGCAGGACGCCATTCTGTGTTTCAAAGGCACACCGGAGGAGACGCGTCTCATGCTTGCTAATGTGGATCTGGCTTTAGCGAGAGATGACGTGGACGCCGCTGTAGTCGTGCTGCAAAACATCCTGCCTACTGAGTCAGCCTACATCCAAGCCCGAGAGAAGATGGCACATATATACTTGGAGAGGAAACACAATGAGAAGCTTTACATCACATGTTACAGGTGAGAAATCTCCTTACATTCGGTGTGACAGGTCATAGGTCATGTCCAAGTCATATTTTTAAAAGAGAAAATAAACCTGATGTAAATATTTGCTTTATTATATTATATAGTATATTTAAATTATTTATGAATTGTGTGTATGCTAGGGCTGTAAAAAAAAAATTTGAATTTCGAATATTCGTCGAATTTAAAATAAAAATCCATATTCGAATGCGAAAACGTTGCATTCGAATTTTAGGTGTGTGTTAAGGAGGCTGCCTTATCAGTGGCGCACGAGATGCGATGACGATGTGAGTGTCGTTGCATTTTAATGTTTTTGTTAGCCTATCCAGTTGAAGCCACTAGATGCGGCGCTGCTGTGTTGTTAATTACAAATATTGCGGGAAAAGAGAACATCAATGCGGAGAAGATCTTGTTTACGTCAAAACTGAAACCAAGCCGTTCACACAGAACACATATTTCGTGCATTTTCTAGAGGGACATCTATCACCGTTGCACTCGCGTCTCACACAAAAGAGCCGCATGTTTAGAAAGCCATGTAAAATTAATGCAAGTTCAACTTTGAAAAAACATATCTCGAGTCTTTTTGGCAGGGTTTTTTCCCCATCTCACTGCAACTCGTGTTTTGTGATTGGCTTTCGGCCCTTTGTAGCCTATTAAACTATGCATACATACATGATGCTGTTTTGTTGCAACTTAATTATAAGTTTATAAACATTATTTTAAACATTATGCACTTTTTTTCACAGATAGTCATGTCATCTTATGCTTTGAATAAACGTGCATTAGTAATATTTTGCTCGATGCACCCTCTTGTGGCCTCAGGAGAGAAGCCAAAAGCTTTTCTTCATCCTAACTGAAAGTATGCATTTTAAATTTGAATATAATTCGAATTTTGATAATATTTAACTACAAAATTCTAATTTAGTTTTTCAGCCATTTCGACAGCCCTAGTGTATGCAGTAGACATTTTACAGCCGACATATTTAGTAATGTTAGTTCATGTTAGCCTAGGTCTAATAAATAATCAATCAATTAAACGGTTTTAACAATGTTTTTAAAATATGAATTTAACATTAACTTACATTAATCATATTTTATTATTTCTTTTGATTTATGGGTGAAATATAAGATTCACTCTGTGTACAGTGAAGCTGTAAGAGAACTTATTACAGGTTTTTTTGTTTTTGGGGGGGGGCTATAGCATGCTGTTGTGGAAGTTTAATTGCTGTCTTAAATGTTTCAGGGAAATAAGTGAGCAGCTTCCAGGAGCTCATACTAGGATCTTGCTGGCTGATGCCTTCATGAAGATACACCAGGTATATATATTTAATGTTTTGACATTTGTGGCTTCTCAGTACCAAACTTCTCTATATATATCTAAACCATGAAAATATCTTGTTCTTAAAGCCCGAGGAAGCAGTCAAGATCTACCGAGAAGTAGAGAAAATTGCTCCGAAAGATACTTTAGCCAAGAAAATAGGCCAGGCTTTAGTGAAGGCTCATGAATATGACACGGCAAGTGGCTTCTACAAGTTTAATTGAACATGTTAAAGGAACTGTTTGTTTCTCATCTGTAATGGCTTATGTTTCAGGCTGTGAGCTATTATGAGACTGCTCTGAAGACGGATACGCTGGACTGTCTTGTGAGTGTAGAGCTGTCCGAACTGCTGCTTAAACTGAAACGATTTGAGAAAGCTCAGCAGGTCCTGGAAAAGGCCTTGGAACATGAACCTAGTACAGAATGACATTCAAACAAACATATCTGGACCATGAGAAACAGAAATTGTTGTTCTCAGCATGCCATTTTTGTTCTGCTTTTACAGCTGCTGTGTTGGCTACCATGATGAGTGAAGTAACAGTTTTACGAGTTTTAGTAAAAGTACTACGTGCCAGGAATGAGTCTGCCCTGGACGTCATGAAAAGGGTTTGTTTTTAAAGTTACATTAAACATTAAAGGAATAGTTCGCCCAAAAATGGCCATCCAAGATGTAAATTAGTTTTTTGTCAGCAATGGATGCTCTGCAGTGAATGGGTGCCGTCAGAATGAGAGTCCAAACAGCT